AATACACTAGTCCCAGTGCTCACCTCCCAAGGGAGATCTCCAAACATTTATACTCATACGGAAAATCAAGCCTCTGACTCCAGCTGACACCAGCTTCCATTACACTAAATAAAAACGCTCTTCCTACGGTCCCAGCAAGTGGGACAAGCCATTTCCCACACTACGAGGCTTGGAAAACAGCATGTGCACCAACTGAGAAGAATAGCCTAGTTAGTATTAATATTTACACTGCAACCATGACTAGAGGTCCACGTTAGGATACAGGCCTTGTGTTTGGTGCTACAGCAGATGAGGGCGCAAGCCCTGCTCTCAAACTGCTGATCACCCAGCTAGTCTCCCACTGACATCCAATTCCTTTCTCCCAATGAAAAGCTCGTCATTTCCATTTGCCACCTCTCTATCAATCTGGCACACCCTGATCCTTTCACATTGTTTTAAATTACTGAGAGTTTTACAGTTGCGGAAAGAAGACAAGGCCCTGTATGTTCTCTGTAGCCAACTCTTGCGTTGCATTAGCCAGTCGTGGAGCAGAGGCCACAGTTGTAGGAGAGTGTCCTCAGCAGTCACAAGTCACAAATTTGGCAAAGTTATAAGACAGTGAAAGAGGTAATCTTAAAAGGGGAAGGTTTGGATGACCTTAATGCTATGCACTGCTGCTTATGGTGCCTGTAATAGGTTATTTTCAGAGCATCTAAGTGTCTTCCAGTCGTGCATTAAGCAATGGAACTAACATCTGTCATGAGGTTCATTTTTCCCTTTCATCTCCTCCCTGGAGGGAATTCTCCAATTTCTTAATCTCTACTGGACCCCCACTCAATAATGTTCATTACCTCAAGAGAAAAAGGAAAAGCCTTTCAAAAAGAAAAAAAAAGAAAAGGCAAAGAAGACATAATAGATCTAAGATTCAGGTTGCTTTGGTGACATATTTTAAGTCTTTTTTGCCAAGAAAAACAGTAATTTCTTTTAAATTTCTTTACATGATATTTAAGCATTGAAAGGGAAAGACAGAATTATTGAGCTGTTTTTCCATCACCCATGATTATGCAGCAATTTATCAACAAAATGGAACATGAACATCTGACTGGGATTATTTATTACACAGCAAGGCATTTATTTTTCGTTCACTGCACCAGGAACAGTGTCCCTGTTATGGCTAGTTACCCATCTGTGTCCGAACAGCTTTCAGGGAAGGATTAACTGCCATTTGTTTTATTTCCTTTCATGAAAAAAACATCCTAACAGGGCTAAGGCAAGACTTGGATATTGCTGGACTTGCTACTTTAAGGTGGCATGAAAAAGAGTGACTGGATCTTCCCTGGAGCTAAAGCAAAGGATGTATGAGGATGACCATGGCATGCAGCATCCCTTCCCCATCCACAGCTCCACAAGTATGCCTAAGAACCTGTAGCACTTCTTCCCTGAAAAGAATGAGCAAACTAAGCTGCCTGATTCAGAGAAAGATAATCTGTGCCCTCAGTAACAGCAAACATGTGGGAAAACTATTTGCTAGAAGAATGTACCTTGTGGCTATTGCCAAAGGTTTTGATGGGTGTATCTGCACTTTGGATAGCTTTATGGCTGTGCAGTGGAAATTACTTATAATGAATAACATGAACATTTCTCTAACACCTTTTGTCCAGAAATCAAAAGCACTTTTCAAAGAAAGGCCCTAATTTTGAACACTTGACGCTAGCAGCTCCTTACGTCGCACTTTCATGGACCGATTTGTTTGGAAACAACTCTGGCACTTTTAAGGATCAGGTAATGACTTTTCTCAAGGTCTTTCCTTCATGGACCATATGCAGTAATGCAGGGTATTCCATGCATCACCTTTGATAGAGGGGAAGAGCTGACCTGTTTTGAGTGGAAGTTAAAGAACCAGGTATCACATACAAGCCACCAACCACAGCTCTGGGGACTCTGCTCTGGCAGGAGCCGTTCTGACACAGAAAACAGCAGTGTTACAGTAGAGTTAAAATACTGACATCTATAGGATGCTAAACATTTCTAACAGTTACAGTAAGAAGAAACCCATAAATAATATAAATTCTTCCCTAAAATTTCCTATATTGACTGGTTCACAGCAAGAACAGCTTCAGGTTTTCCTCCCATCATTGTTCATGTGCTATTTTCTGCAATCCCAAAGTGAAACTGACCACAGTTCCTGTGTCTTGCCTGCCTGGCCTGCAGGACATCCCCAGAGCGATGTCAGGGATGATGGGGAAGAAGCACCTGCATCACATTCATGGGATACACAGAGGTAACAATGGGGAGGGACAGAACTCTGCAAGAACTACAGCCCTCCATGCTGCCTGCTGAGGGTGGGAAGGGGCAGGGTTCTCCTGCAGGTAGCGGGAAGGCTCCTACCACCCTTGTTCCCATTTGGTATTACATTTGCAAGTCAGCTGCTTCCTACCAGCATGACTCTTGCTGGAAAGGCAAATGAGGGGCTCACTCAAACCGCTGCTGCTTTGGCGGGACTGTAGGCAATGCAACTCCTCACATCCATCCTTGGCAATCCATCGAAAGATCATCCTGCCGTTGCAAGCCTAACCATGCACACACAGGCCCCTCCAACTCAGTTGTATTTCATCACTGACCCCAGCCTGATAAGCACAGTACCTCCTGCCCAATTTTCTGAAGCTGCTCTGCTTTCCAATTCCTGTTATCTTTGTGTCATACTTGACATAACCAGGTCACAAGCTGCAGGGTCACAACTCCGAAGAGCTGTGACCCGGCTCCCATACCTACAGGAGCATCTAATTATCTTGACCAGCTCCCAGGCAAACAAAAGCTATGGAAGAGCAAGGACACCACCTGGGGACAGTAATTTATTAGCTGGAATACAATTATAACAGAGGTAGACTACCTCTCCAAATTAAATTAATCTTTTTCTTATGCTGCTACCTAAGAATGACATCCCACTACCATACTGTCACAGCAGGGAATTCATGTTTAAAAATGCACTAAGATTTGGAGTTACAATAGATTTAAATTCTGTTATAAAGAAAAAGCTTTTGCTATCTGCTTTGGACTGAAAACACCTCTTTTTAGAAAGGACTGAGGTTTCCAAGCGGTTAAGAGCAAGACCTGGGAATATGGAGTAGTTAAATTATTTCTTTTTTAATTTCCACTTTTCAACCTTTTCCTCTGACTTTGAGAAAAGCTTTGAGCTTTCTCTGTCCATAGAACTCTAAATTAAGCAAAGTTGTTTTATTTTCTTAGGGAAACAAGACAATTCCTAGTATTCTTGCTATAACATTTCCTCAGGGGAACTGAGAGAAGATGAAATCACTGAGAAGCAGCTGGCTTAACACAGGCAGGGACAATGTCAGAATGTGATTTCTTTGCTGACTTACACAGCCATTAGTCCCGTGGTCTGCTTCTCTCCCATCCCTCTGTGATACTGGGAATCTGCTAAGACACACTTATGGAAGGTTTGGACTTCTAAATCTGTGCTTTAAATGTCCCCACAGTTCCCTAATGTGCAGAGTTTATTCCTATCAGGCCCTTAACCTCAGTTTTCCTGGCAAAATCACTGTAAGTATTTCCCTTCAGAAGCTGACTACAGACTATGTCGAGGAATTAAAGAGGTTCCTCTATCCCTTGAAAACAAAATGTTGTCCAAAAGATTGAGATTTTTAGATTTTAAATTCTCATGGTTAGGCTGGAATTACAACCTAATAACAACAATTGTATCATTAAATCTGGATGAAAAGTTTTGACCATGGGGAAAGTACGCAGTTCAAAATAAAAATCTCAAAGGTCTGAGCCCCTCTATCGCACACACCACCTCTTCTCCCTCTCCACATGATTTTGCAGAAACACGGGGTGTGGGGGGGGAACCAACTGAAAAATCAAGAGAGAAAAATAATTTTCTCTCCAAAATGCCAGCAAAACAGTAACACATTTAAATTATAACAAGAAACTTATTTTCCACACAAAATATAATTCACTCTTTTCAACAGGGTCCAGCTGTGGTAGGCTGAGAGTAAAGGTGTAAGACATGAAGGCAAATACGGCTTGTATTTGGGGAATTTCCATGATTTTTATGGATTGCGTTGATGAGAAACGCATTTGCACACTCTGAACTGCCAGTAACATTTTTGTTTTGGGATATATTTTGAATAATTCCTTTGCAAAAAGCACAGCCATATTTTCATTAGAAATGGAAAGTCGTTCTGGAAGACCCAAGCTGGTATTTCAATAAATAAAGGTGGTATAAATTCAACATACTGATTCTCCAATTCATCATCCTCCAAGCTAAAATATATCATTCCTCTCTCATTTCAATTCCCAGCCATGCTGTCCTCTTAATCTTAATTATAAATGGTCTGCCACTTATCAAATCATTCTCTGTGTCCTGCGCAATCCTCACCCTTGATTGCACAAATATTTTATTTTTGGAACAACACAGTTCTGCAACAAGCTCCATTTTTCTTTTCATGACTTAGTCCCTATTAAAATAAAGCGTTTATGAAAGCTCTGTGCACACGGAGAGAAAATTAGTTGCTCCTCCGTGGCTAACAGTTTTTAGCTAATCACAATGCAGCTCCACATCACTTTGAGCAGGGCAGTGATTAAAACTGTGCCTGCAACAAAGCAACATTGTACACGGCGATGACGTGCTCCAGTCAAAAACGTCTCCCCTCTTGTTATGATTGGTATTCCCCAGGTGTTTGACTTTGAGCTCTAGGCTTGGCAGGCGAGCCTTTGTGGCTGCAATTCAAGACCAAGGCTTGAGCAGCTCCAGTGTTTATTCTCATAATTTACACTTCGTGATGGCTTATGGACAGTTATGTACTTGGTTTCATAGCCACCACTTCAAACCAAGGGCCTGATACTGCTGTTACGGAGTTAGTGGTAAATGCTTCCCAATTCTAGCACTGGCAGGAGGCCTCAGGTGACTAAACTGTCTCAAAGCAAACAAACCAATATAAAAGAACAATTTGATTTAAAAACAAAACAGAAAAAAAAAAAAAGCCTGAAATCTTACTTACTAGGAAGTCTTCTTCACAGTACACCTTCCCATTGACATTGTAGAACGCTTTTCCTCGTAGTCTTCTCCCTGTTAAAACACAGTACTGTTAGCATTTTGTGCTCCATGCCCAAACCCAGTCACTACTCAGGATGCAAAGCGGAAAGCACACCCTGCTGTGCCTGTCTGTATGGCCAGCTCCAGGCCCCTCTATTCCCCTACGCTCCATCCAGAGATATGGGTGGTGGTTTGGCTCCCAGCTCCATCCTGCCTTAACGAATTCCTTATCAACTAAATGTTGCTTCTAAGTGCAGGTCATGGAACCCAGCTGACAATAGTTCCTGGAAATCTAAACCCAAAAATTACTATTCTGTGGGAGAAGGCTCATTTGTAAATTGAGACCATTTCCTTAGCAGGTGAAATCACAACAGGCATACGCCTACTGCAATCAGCATCAGCAAGGTGTTTATCTCTGAAGGACCAAACAAGGGACACTACAAGTGTATGTTCCTGTCACCTTTACCAATATTAATACATTCAGCAATGCCACAGGAGCTACACGCACAGCTGCCTGCATTACTAGAGCAGTACAAGGCATACATGATGAAGGGAAGGGCAGGAAAAAAAAATCACACTGGAAACATTTTCAAGTTTGAATGTTTGCCATTTCATTAGCACTTTTGGAACTCTATTGACAAAGCCTGTGATCGTCATTAACTGATGGCTCCCTTTACAGCTAAGAATGCACAACAGACTCCAGAGAGTCACAACAAAAAGGATTAAACCCAGGAATTCAAAAGCCACCCAGCCCAAACAGTTCTCAGATAGAATACATCAGATCTGTCTTGCACCAGAGCTGCTCTACTGAAAGCAACACCATTTTATCAATGAAAAGCAGTGAGAAGGGAAACCACACTCATCCTGACTCACCTATTTCCACTCTGTGCCAGAGTCCCACTGGCCAAAGCTCCCAAATGCTTGGGTGCTCTCACAAGCCGTCTGCAGCCTTGGCAAGCAGAGCGCACAGTGCCTACCATGCATACCTGCTGCTTTTAGCAGTGACACGGAGTGAGGATGAGGGCAACAGGATCTGTATTTACAGGTCAACAGATGAGCCTCCCTGGTCACTGCCGAAGCTTTTACTCCACAGAATAAGCCTGGATGTCTCCTATGGAGGCAGAGTGAGTGGCTCCACCATAAACAAGGCTGGTCTTTGCGGAGGGTTTGACTCCAAGGGCCAGCAAGCTGAGCCAGCTGGCTGAGCACAGAGGGGCAGGAGCGCTCTCCAGGGTTTCCATAAACAATGTTGAGGAAAATATGATTAATTTTCAGTGCTTGAAAATGCCTTTTACACGTTGCCACTGTGATCTGATCCTGGGAAACAGTTTGTGGCACAAAGAAGTTGGGATCTGGGCTGATGCTTTTGGGAAATCACATGCTGCATGTGGTTGTCTGGCGGTTTTACTGTCGTGGCCGAGGGAAATGCTTCTTTTGTGTGCACATTCTTGGGCTGTCGATCTCACGGGCCGCTGTCTCCATACTGCTGGTAGGTGGAGTCAGCTCTTGTTTGTCTTTCCAGCTGCCTGGTAGCTCTGGTGGGGACCAGGAGCCTGGTAGCATGGGCAATGCACTGAGACTGTCCTATCTCCTCTGGGACTCTTAGGTCAAACGGGTCCATCCTACATGTCACACAAACAAGGCATGGGGCTGGGACAGTAATTAGTGGGCCACAGGGCCTCTCTCAACTGATGCAGATGAACCTGTGGATTGTCTCCCCTGCTTATCCAAGCTGTTTTAAACCTCTCCAGTGAAAGGGAAAGGAAAGGTAAATGGAAGGGAGGGAAGAAAAGGAAAGAGGCCAGAATGGCTTTTTAAAAGACATATTGGCTCTGCCAGACCCAGAATTGATATACAACTTGTCTTTAGATGGTGGAAGTCAAGTGGCTGCACCCAGAATAGGGACTTGCCTTGAACGTGCTGATGCAGCACTTCTACCTTGCTCACACACATCACCAGAGCAGAGCTTGGGCATTTGCTTCAGGCAGAGAAGCGCTGGCCATCAACCCTCACCACACACCATTATGGTTGGAAGCAGCAGAGATAATTAGGAACAAGTCCTGAACTCTGTTGCTGGAAGGATCTCTGCAGGAAAGGAATTCCCTAATTTGGGGAGGCGTCAGCATCTCCTGAGGCATTGCAGAAGGTTCATGAGGACCTGCACATCCCCTTTCTATCCCATGTAGCTTGGCAGTGCCCAGGTTAATAGAAACACCCCAAATTCTGCTCTTGTTGTTTCCATAGGGCAGCATCATTGGCAGAAGCCCATGGGGCCAGAGCTTTCCTGGACTGGGCAGGAGTGGGAAGCCTAAGACCCAAAGCTAACAAGGCAAAAACGATGTTTTGGGCTGGCTCTCAAAGACATTTATGTTATCAGATGCATTTGGCAGCTGATGGCTCTGCGACACAAAACAAGCTCACCTAACTGCAAGCCTCCTCCTCAGCCAGTGCATAACTTGTGAGCCCCTGCTCACACCCTACACTGCCAAACACAGCCCGCTGCCCTCCCTGCCGTACAGCGGCCGTGGTGAAACACCTCTGTCTCATGCAGCACTCACAGCGCAACACCTTTAAACAATGAGGAAAAATACCATTTTCCCCATTTTACAGCCACCTATTAGGGAACCGACTTGCCTAAACTCATAAAGCAGGCAGGCAGCATGCTCACATGATAAATACTATTATTAGCAATAATTGACAGGCCTTTTCCCTTAGAAGAATTTCATTCAGGGATCTTACGTTATCTCACAAACAACAAACAGCAAGTTTTCAAGCAAATAATCCTGGTGCACTATATTGGCTTCTACATACTGCATTTTAGAAATAAAGGCAAAAATATACATTCCACTCACCCCACAGAAGAGCTTGCTAAACAATAGCCCTGAACATGGTCAGACACCAAACTCTGCAAGTGCCAGGGCATCATGTGAAAACTGCAATGAAGAGCAAAGTGCTGGCAGTTGCAGCCAGGGAGATACAAAGCCTGAGGAGATGCAGCAGCGTTGGTACCTCCCAGCCCCAGGGCAGCCCTGCAGCTGGGTGGATGCAGCATCTTGACATTAGAATATCTGCCCTGAGCTTGATGTACTGGACAAGGCAGTTTCACCTCCCAAGTCATACCAGAGAATCATAGAACGATTTGGGTTGGAAGGGACCCTAAAGCTCATCTAATTCCAACCCCCCTACCATAGGCAGGGACACCTTCCACTAGCCCATGTTGCTCCAAGGTCCCCAAGCTCCTGTGTCCATCCTGGCCTTGAACCCTGCCGGGGATGGGGCAGCCACAGCTTCTCTGGGCCTCAGCACCCTCAGAGGGAAGAGCTTCTGCCTAGGATCTAATCTAAATCTCCCCTGTCAGTTTAAAGCCATTCTCCCTTGTCCTGTCACTACCTGCCCTCGTAAAAAGTTCCTCTCCAGATTTCTTGTAGGCCCCCTTTAGGTATTGGAACACTGTTAGAGAAGGTTTCCCTGGAGCCTTCTTCCAGGCTGAGCAAGCCCAGCTGTCTGAGCCTGTCCACAGCAGAGGTGTTCCAGCCCTTGAAGCACCTTCGTGGCCCTTCTGGGGCAACACAAGGGCCTGCACAGCACCAGCCTCTTCTCTGTAGCCATAACATATTATTCTCAATCAGGCAGAGATTACAAGTTTAAAACCCCTAATGCTACTTTAGCCACCTGAGTCAAGCGCCCAGCCAGCTAGACAAGTAATACCATCCTGCCCATGGGTCCACAGAACCTGCTGCCTGGCCATCCTTTGAATGGCTGCGTGTAGCCAAGCCTGGGTTACTGTTTGCTTTCGTAATATTGAAACAAAAAAAGTCAAGAGTTTCTGACAAAACTTGATGCAACTTGCCGATAGCTCATTATAATAATAATGAGCAGTTATAACCAGCAGCCTAGCGCAGAGTTCAACAAGTACTGGGTTTCACACACACACACACACACACTGTGCTTCTCTCCTCCTCCTGCTGGATACCCACCTTGGCACGTCTGCCCTGTCAGACCAGTTCCCAACAGCAGCGAGAGGCTCCATTTCACACCGACCAGGGGAGCAGCAGGTTGGCTGGGAATGTGGAGGGGGGACCACAGATGGGGTAGAACCACCCAGCCTGCAGGCATGTAACACCAGCTTTGATAGGGAAGCCCCTTTTCCCCCCTCTCCTGGGTTCAGGTACAGCTGTCATTTTTTTCTCCTTCTTAGTAGCTGGTGCAGTGCAAGTGCTCTTTAGCCTTGTTTTATTGTAGAAAACAAAGCTTATGCACTCCCAGTGACAGCAAATGCTTGCCGCAAGTAACTTTTCCTGACTGACACCACACCTTTGAGGGGGGTTGTGAGCACCAGGATAAGGGGATTCCACCATCTCAAGTGGGCAACAGAGACCTCACAAATGCTCCAGCAAAGAGGGCAAAGATTCCTGTAGATAATCGAGTAGTTAATAAAATGCAAGCTAGAAATGACTCTGTCCCAAGGAACAATAACTGGTGTTTGCGACCAACACACAAACATCCAAGAGAATGCAAGCTTTTGAACTTTACAAATACACATAAAATCAGAATCAGTTCTAGATTTTTAATATAAATTTTCACATTTAACTGGTTTATGAGTCTCTGATATTTAAACGTGTCTAGCAATTGCTTCCTGCATAATTTTATCTCTTATGTGCTGCAAACTAAAAGGAAGGAACAGGAGAGCTGCTGCTTTAGCAAAGGACTCGACTCAGAGATTCAGCTTGCAAAAGGAAAAATGACCCACAGTTGACACAGGCTGTCCACAGCTATTCTCTCCAGTTTCCACAACACTTTGCTGGGTGGTGAAAACACACCAGCCAGGCAGCCAAGATGGGGCAAAATTTTTTCCAACACTGTTTCAAAAGCTGCTCCAGGCCCTCATGGAACAAAATGTGAATCAGACCAGGCTTTACGGCCTTGAGGAGGTGCTTGAAAGAGCACTGAACATGTCCTGCCCCCTCCCCACTAGCCCCAAAAGCACCTCCAAAGCCCTCCCTGCCGCTGCTGGCAGCGGGGTATTTGCCTAT